GATCCAAACGTGGCTAAATGCAGTACCGCTTTTTTGCTGAGTGTTTTTCTGCTGCTACTAAACGTCCAAGGCGGTTCCAGTGTAAATGTAGCCTTACGATCGACTTTTATGTAAACCCTTTATCCCAATATCAAAAACAACTGTTTCTGTAACTAATTATAAAGTGTGATCTGGAGTTCAGCTTCCATTTGTTAGTGTATTTAAATCTGCAAGTACATCTAACACTCCCCTCCCACCAGACTGACAATTATGCTGCAGTGCTCCTTCATCCAGAGTGGGGGCGCTTTAGTACAGGTGGTGTGTTACTGGCCTGGTCACCAGGTGAAAAAGCCTAAAAAAACAAAAACTAATGCAGCCTCTACATCTAATGATTAGTAACCTGCAATATATTAAATTTTCTGTTTTGGAATTAAAGTGGAAGTAAACCTTGTTTTTCATGTTTTACTTACAGGTAAGCCTTTAATAAGGCTTTCCTGTAGGTACTGTAAATAACTGTAAAAACATGCACCGTTTAGGAGACATTTAATGTGGCGACGATAGGGATGTCACTTGCGCATGCGCACTGAGCTCGGAATGGACAGTGCAACGTTATTGGAGGCTGGCCAGTCAAACGGCTATTGCCTGCCCCGCCCCGCAACCTGGTGTCATTCTGGACTCCAACCTATCCTTCCACCCCAAGTCCAATCTTTAACAAACTCGTGCAGACTCCACCTCCACAACATCGCCAAAATCCGCATGTTCCTAACCCCAGAAACCACTAAACAGCTCATCCACTCCCTCATCATATCACGACTCGACTACTGCAACTCCCTCCTCACTGGCCTGCCTCACCACAGGCTATCCCCGCTTCAGTCGATCCTGAATACGGCTGCCAGACTCAACCACCTTACCAACCGCTCCATCTCCGCCACCCCCCTCTGCCAATCCCTCCACTGGCTTCCGATTGCGCAACGGATCAAATTCAAAATCCTAACACTGACATACAAAGCCGTCCACCATACTGCCCCGAACTACATCACTGACCTAATATCCAAGTACCACCCAGCACACACACTCCGCTCCTCACAAGACCTCCTTCTCTCTAGTTCCCTGGTCTCCTCCTCCCATGCCCACCTTCAGGACTTCTCCAGGGTGTCACCCATCCTCTGGAACTCCCTGCCCCAACCCATCAGATTATCACCTACTCTCCTCTCCTTTAGGCGCACCCTGAAAACCCATCTCTTCAGGGAAGCCTACCCCACCCCCTGCTAACTTGCCGACCTCCTCCACTCTTCCTACCACTCCATCCCCCACAGCTATCTCCTCCTGTACCACCATCCCCTCCCTCCTAGATTGTAAGCTCGAAAGAGCAGGGCCCTCAATCCCCTCATGTTTTGCATTGTATTGGTATTGTTCTGTCACATGTTCTGTCCCCCTTTGTAATGTACAGCGCTGAGTGAACCATTGGCGCTTTATAAATACTGTATAATAATAATAATATTGCCCACAATCCCAGAAGGAAGAGAGGATGAAGATGGAAGCTGTGACAGCTCACCTCTGGAGGGCTTCGTTTTCTGGTAAGTCATTCATAATGTACTAGAATGTGATGCATACTAGCACATCATGCTCTTATCTTGCAGGGAAGTTTTTTAGATTTAGTTTACTACCGCTTTGATATTTTGCTATACAATAACATCTTAAAGCCTGGCTGTTCCTGAGTACATGGACAATAGAATCCCTTTTACTTTGGTCTTTACCTGTAACTGTTAGTTACATTCTTAGCATTCTTTGTTTCCGCTTTGTGATGATTATTGCTTTTATCTGAACTCTTCCATGGATCTTTATGCTGTGCTTTGTATGTCGATTATGTGTGAACAAAAGCATTTAGTTAAACTATGTTTTCACATAGAGAAGGCTGCAGTTTCTCTGAAATTGATGTGGGATTTTGTTAAGGGAACTGTTTAGATATAAATAGGGTTTCCTGGGGTTCTTTAATGTGACAAATAAAAAGTACTCCTGTGTGCACTACCTTCCTGCTGACATCAGGTATGTGACCTGCATTGTGCTATATCATGCGTGGCAGGCAGTTTCAATGCAGCAAGGTTAATTCTAGTAGCTGTATCACTCCATTTACCTATTTGTTACACAATTCCAGGTTGACAAGCTTTTTTTTTCCCTCTTTTTGTAAAGATTTCCATGCAAAGCCTAACTATTCTTAAAGTGTTACTAAACCCACAACAGTAAAAGCCGTCTGTATATGCAGTACAGCATGCTGGTTATATCATTGTGGAACCTAAGGATCCTCTCTTCTCTGATCCTCTCCTTCTTTTACTGCCCCCAATACATCTGCCATAGTACAGAGTAGCAGGGGAAAGTATGCACATGCTCTGTTTGGCATGTATTGCTAGAGAGTTTTGCTAGACATCAAAGGGTCAATCAGAACTTTCCAAACAGAGGGTCAGGGGTCACTTATTTATTACAGGTACTTATATAGCACCATCAATTTACACAGCGCTTTACATATATATTGTACATTCACATCTGTCCCTGACCCTAAAGGAGTGTACAATCTAAGGACCCTAACTTACATTCATGCAGACACATACTAGGTCCAATTTAGACAGGAGCCAATTACCCTACCAGCAGGTCTTTGGAGTGTGGGAGGAAACCGAGAACCTGGAGAAAATGCACGCAGAAACAGGGAGAACATGCAAACTCCAGGCAGGTGGTACCGTGGTTGGGATTCCAACCAACGACCTTAGTACTGCCAGGCGGAAATGGTAACTATTTAGCCACTGTGTCATGCAGCTTCATAGGACAGTCATAGGAGAATGAAAACTTTTCCTACAAGATTAACCAGTGCTCAGCTGAACACTGATAGAAGTCACAAGACTGCTATATACTGCTGCTGAGGAAAGGTATTTAGCAGTTTATAGTTACTAAAATAATTACTTTTCTATGTTCTGTGTACTGTGGGAGAGCAGATATAGTGAATACAGGTCCTGGGTTTAATAACACTTTTAATATGCTCCTCCCCCCCAACACCTATTCTGACTAACGTGTGCAGGAAAGATCTGTATACTTACCTATGTTCAGGCCCGGTGTGGTCACGTGATCTGGCTCCCGTGTCAGTCAGCAGAGGCCACAGGTAGTGGAAGAAGTGTCGACAATGGCTGGGACATGTGAGCTTATGGGTGACGTCCTTGTTCACAGCCATTGCCAGCCATTGTCGAACGCTCTCTCCTCTCCCCTGCAACACCACTGAATGACATGGGGAGATCACATGACCAGACCAGAGCGGGCTGAAAATAGATAAGTATACAGATCTTTCTTATACAGGTCAGGCAGAATAGGTGTTGGGGTGGGGGGGCATGTTTAAACTTAGTTAGGTGTTGAATAGGATTCTGCTTAAAATATTGTGAATAGAGTAGCTGAAGGAGTGAAGGATGAGAGGAGGGTGATCGTTGCATGAAGGGTTTTAAATGTTGGTTGTGTTTTAGTGTTAATAGTAAACCATTGGGGCTACTCAAGGTTAGGCTAAAGCCATAAAAACATTTTTCCTTAGCTTTAGTGACCTAACTTACCTGTAATGAAGGATGCCCCATTTCATGCAGTCAGCTGGATCCTGTAGAAATCTTCTGTACAGACATGTCCTGTCCTCTTCCTGCAGCTGTGATGGTTAATAGCTTCCAGTCTTCTTTGAAGCTGCAGTAACAAGCTCCAGCTAGGGAACTGCCCCCATCACCCCTATTGGGAAATGGTCCTTTTAGCTCCTGATGGGGACCCATTCCCTCCTCCTCATTGGGAAAGGTTCTAAAATCATTTTAGGACTGAAGATGACACAAAACCCCCAAACATTATATATTTTCTGAAATCAGAGACCCTAGAGAATAAAATCGTGGTAGTTCCAATTTTTTATGTCGTATGATATAACTGCAAAATTAAGTAAGTTAATTTTAGGGCACAAAAAAGCAATACATTACCTTATTTTTTTTTGTAAAATATAAAAAGATGAGGTTGCAGCGAGTAAATAGATATCCAATTTGTCAAACCTTACATTTGTGCATGCTTGTGAAATGGTGACGACCTTCAGTACCCTGTATTTTCTATAGGCCACACATTTAAAGCCCCTTATAGGTCACTAATTTAGCATTACGGAGGAGGTCTGCTGCTAGAATTATTGCTCTCATTCTGGCGTGAGCGGCGATATGTAACATGTGACACTATCTACGTTTTCATGTGTAGGTGCCCCAGAGTGTGATTTTATGTTTGTAGGTGCGGAGGTGGGGGGGGCCTCAATTTTTTGGGGGAGGGATGGTATGTACTTTGGTGTATCTTTTGTTTTTTACAATTAAAAAACGGGGATGGGAGGCTGGCAATGTGTGGAAGCAATCGGTTGCCGCCCGAATGTTTACACCTGACAGGTGAGCCGTGCTGCTTGCCTAAAAAGGTAAATAGTATATGGCCCTTTCAGGGTCAGATTCGTCCTTCCAGGCCCACTATCTAGAGGTTGTTTTTCCTGCTGCGATTCTTAGCATCTTCTGCTCTGCATTCCAGAGCCCTAAGTTTCCTTTGCAAGGTGCGAATAGCAGTTGTGAGAATAGCAATAGAGAGTCCTCGGTATCCCTATCCTGTCTTATGATCCTCACCACAGTGGCAGCATAGCATGGTGCGGGAGGTGGAACAAGTCTGAATGATGGGCAACAGTGGAAGCAAGTCCTCCTTTGAATGCTTTGGTAGCCTTGGATGTTGCTGCCCGCCCAGGATCTGCATCATGTGTTTCTATGGTGCAGTCTGGCCAGACACCAGCGCCATAGCAACAAATGATGCCTAGTGTCCTGGCCACTCAGTATCATTGGTTTTTATGGTGCTGGCAGCTGGCCCCCCTGATGCATACAGAGAACAAGTTGGCTGAGGGCCAAGTAAAATCTTGTAGTGGGCCAGATGTGGCCTTTGGGCCACAGTGCAGAGACCGCTGACCTAGATACTGTTTAGCTCAGTTATATTTGATGATCACTTACCATGGCGGAACGGCTCAATAAGGACATCTGACTGTTTGCACAACTTCTTCAGCACACTGACTCCTCCTGGGCACTTGAGATCCAATGCTATAGACCTTTTACCGCGTGCCATAGTGTCGCTTGCAACAGAGCTTTTGGCTTTATCCACACGGATCACCTTAGCCCCAAAGTCAGCGAGTATCATTCCACAGAAGGGCGCAGGGGCCAGTCCTGCCAGCTCCAACACCTGAACACCAGCTAGAGCCATCGGGTCACTATTAAAGAGAGAGAAAAAAAAGGATCTCAGAAGGCTTTTTTTTTTTTTTACAGATATACCTCATATTTTCATTGTGTATCTCTTGAGTGTACTGAAATTTTTGGATGAAGCAATGTTCCACAAAGGAAAGGAAGCGGATAGGGAAAGCATGAACATTTTCATATATATATATATACACACACACACACATATATATATATATATATATATACACATACATATATATTTATACACATACACACACACACACACACACACACACACACACATACATACATATACACACACTGTATATATATTTTTTGTTTTGTTTTTTTTTTTTTAAGTTTTTGGAAGGCTAATATTAAGTCTGCCTATGATATATGTTAAGCGTCACCCCCTGTGGAAATTAAGCCCTACCCCAATGCAGTTGAAGTATAACTCCAGCCAAAATAAAATTGTAAGTGTCAGCTAGACCTGATTGGATCTCGTAGTGTCCAGGATCCTTGCTGGGGGAGGTGTGCTGGTGTGTCCTACTGTACTGGTTGCTACATCTTTTCAAATAGCACTTTCCCTTCCTCACCACCTAATTTTTTCACTTTTTTTTCCCTTCCCCACTATCTCATTTTTTCAATTTATTCCTTACCCGTTTTCTCTCTCTCCTTTCTTTATTTTTTTTTGGAAGCAGATTTCCTTTTGGTTTGTTTTTGTTAAAAAAAAAAAAAAAAAAAAAAAAAAAAAACAGTGGGTCCACCCACACAGCCGATATTTAATGGGCGACAATATCCAGTGTTGATATGGTTGATACCTTACATTTTTACATTACCCTTTTTTCTGCCTCTAAACGCCCTTGCGTATTAGCCAATGTGACCAGGCACAGACATTTAGAGGCAAAAACAAAAAACCATTGCTAGTGCATCCAGGAGTAGCAGCATTTTTGCAGAAAAATGTTTGTAAACATGTGTTAAACGCACAAGGCACATTTAGCGCTTAAGCATTCATTTCAATGGGGAGAATAAAATGATTATGCTGGCCAAATACATTAAGTTTTTCTTCTTGCCAAAACACCGGTGCCAGAAGGAAAAGATTCTAGAAGAGGTAGAAGTAAGATCCAGTGTGCACCCAGCCTTATTCGGCAGGAAAGTAACACAGGTGAGCGTTCTCCTTGCATTTCCTAGAGATACTTTTGCTGGGAAATTCTCACTTGTGATAGGATTGCAAGTTTCATATTAGTCTTATGAGGTGTTTGTCGTTTACTAAAACCCCGGAGAGCTACAGTATGAACACTAGATCTTCACGTCAAAGCCTCACACTGGGGATTAGCAGTGCCAGTCTCCCAGAGCCCAGAGTAAATGTACAGGTGGATTTCACACGCATGAAGTGTGACATTTTTGGTGCCTGTTATATTTAGCCAAAAAGTCTCTTTTTTATTTTTTTTATTTTTTTCTTCCAAAAATTTTTTTATTGAAATACAAGACATTTGAGATCAGAGACATGTACGGAACACATTCTGCAAACGTATAACTGAAGCAATCTCCCGTAACGCAGACGGGTAGTCAGACATGTAATTGAAGTATGCAATAAACATAAACAGGAGATCACGCTACCCAGTAAACAAAGTAGAATAACAGGTTCGCAAATATGGATGGTAAGCAATAGAGGTACAGAGGATGCAAGTGTCGGGGGTAAAAAGCGCTTAGGTAATCGGGTAGTGGAGCAAAAAACAGCATTGACGTCAGAGGCGGACGCATCGTGTAATTCCGCACCCGGCTAAGTTAAGTTTCTGCTTGTATGTAGAAATAGTTGTTTAAGAGAAGAATATGAGACAAAAGGAGAGAAAAGAGAGAAAAGAAAAAGAGGAGAGTACTGTATATGGAGGAAGATTTAGAGAGCACAGGGAGGAGTGAGAGAAAAGAAGAAAAAAAAAAAAAGGAGGGGGGGGGGGGGGGGAAACGGAGAGGGGGGGGAGGTGGGAAGGAAGTGTAAAGGGAAGGATGGATCAAGTAATAGGTAATAGCTATTAAGCCAACCATAATATAATATAGTAGACAAGCTAATAGGTATTATCCTTAGGACTTAACATACATTCTGATAAACACGGTCCGCGTCGCTATTCCAGAGGTGATAACTTTGAACGGTATTCACAACCTGTAGATTAGTTTTAGTTATTCATATAGAGATTATAGAAATTGGTAGTTTGGAAGTGTTTCCAACACGCCCAAGTTTTCCGAAATCTCTCAGGGTGGTCTCTTGTCACTGAAATCAATTCCTCCATCTCCGCAACTCTGATGACCCTATGGAACCACTCCCGCACCGTAGGAATCTGTTCTGATCGCCAGTGGACAGGAATGCATTGTTTCGCCGCATTTATCATATGCAGGGTAAGAGACTTACGGTACATCCTTAACGGAATTGAGGAGTGGTGAAGTAAAAATTGAGCCGGGGTGTATTCCAGAGTGTAAGTAGTCACTTGTGAGACTATATCTCGCACTTTTTCCCAAAAAGGCTGCAACAGGGGACAATCCCACCAGATATGTAGGAGTGTGCCTGTTGTCTGTCTACATCTCCAGCACAACTCTGAAATGTTAGGGTCAAATTTATGCAGCAGGGACGGAACTCTGTACCATCTAGAGTATAATTTGTAATTACTTTCCTGCGTGGAAACACACATGGAGCCCGAATGTATGTGTTCATAAATGTGATCCCAGTCGTCAGTTGACAAAGGTATTTGTAAATCTCGTATCCAAGCTTCACACGCTTTCCGAGGTTGAGATATACTAGTAGTTTCAAGAAGGGAGTAAAGCTTGGATATAACATGTCGCTGGGGGGAATTCGAGAAGCAAAGTTTCTCAAATGGAGTAAGCGACCTGGAGTAGTCTTGTAAATGCGAGGCGTTATGTGTAAAATGATGAATTTGTCTATATATCCACGGTGTTAGGTTCAGGGATGGCCATAACTTCAAAATGTCCTCTCTAGATAAGAACTTAGTATTTTTGAAAAGGTGATATATTGTCAGATTATCTGGAAGGTCACATCCAGAGAGGAAAGTCCGGGACATACCCGGCAAAAAGTCAGGGTTCTTTTTGATTGGGGTTAAGGGGCCCGGGGAGGAAGAGAGCTCAGTGTTCTGGAATATCTGTCGGCAACAGTTTAACCTGGGGCCTACAAGAGGGTGATCCCGAAATTCAGTGGGAATATGAGCATTTCCCAGCCAAGGGGAGGAGGCAAGCGAAATCATCGAAAAATCAGATTCTACGTCAACCCAAATCTTACGATTACAGTTCGAGGTCCAGTCTACTACTCTTGCCAATTGACACGCCCTGTAGTACCGTGTAATGTCAGGTAGTCCAATACCTCCACTTCTCTTAGGCATGGTGAGTTGTACAAAGCTAATTCTAGGGTGTTTGTTATTCCAAAGAAAGGAGGAGCGTGCCTGTTATATTTAAAGCGCTACTAAACCCAAAACAAAAAATAATATATTGCAGCTTGCCAATCACGAGGCCCAATTCACACTTGAGCGATTTGTAGCTTGAAGCTCAAAGCTCCAAAAACGCTTGAGGAGAAAAAAAATCTATTATTCTCAATGAAGATGGTTCACATCTCCACTCCAAGTCGCCTGAAGCTCAAACAAGTTCTGGAGCTTTTTTTGTCGCTCAAATCAGGCAGATATACATGTTTGGATTTCATAGAAATGAATGGAAATGCGGAGTTCATGCATTTTTGCGCATAGTTGCATGTTTTTCTGCACAAATGAAAAAAAAAAGTGATAATATATGAATAAATAAATGTAGAATAACTTAAATACACTAATAAATAAAAATAATTGTAAATAAAATAAATTAATAATATGTAATAATAAATAAATAATAATTAGCTCCTAACCTTAACCCCCTAAAAAAATAAAAAAAATTAAGACTAATAAAAATAACTACAATAATTTACTAATTTTGTGTTAGGGTGTTTATTATTATTATTATTTTTTTTTTTAGTAATTAATTTTATTTTTTTAAGGGTTAGGGGGTTAAGGTTATAGGTTAATGATTATTATATATTGTTCATTTTTAATTATTTTTATTTGTGCATTTATTTTACATTCATTTATTCTTACAATTTTAACTATATTAACACCCTAACAAAAAAATAAATAATAAGACAATAAATAAAATATTAACCCCTAACCCTTATCCTAACCTTAACTCTAACCCTGGGGCGGACTGACCATTTGAAAACTCGGGCGCTGCCCGAGGGCCCGGGGTCAGTAGGGGGCCCCATGAGATGCCCCTGGTACCTTTTTCATAGGCTTTTTTGAGTTTGGGCAAGGACACAGGGGCCCCATGATCCTCTATTGCCTGGGGGAGAGAAACGTTTTGGCTCAAAAAATGCCAAACACAGGGAAAATGTGTGTAAATGCAATTCCAGAATTAAAAATATACTGAAAAAAGGACAACAGAGGGCTGGGCTTGTAACGCGTTTCGAATGGGTCGAATCCCATCTGAGACCAAACTGTTTTTCGACAAAGCTGGGTTTGTGGTCTAAGGCCTTGCAGATCAAGTGGTAGAAGTGAGACCCCAATTAACTCATATGGGGACATTGCACTTCCCATAGAAAGGACAGACAGGAGAAAACAAGAAGAGGAACAGTAAAAAAAAAATACATAAGAAAATACGTGCTAACCCTCCGTACCCCAAACACTGTCTAACCTGAAGTATCCTGAGCATCACCCATCAGATAGTGAATCCAGGGGCTCCACATGTTTTCGAACAATGCAACTTTGTCATTCAGACGCTCCTTTATCATGATCCAGGACAGTTTGGCCTTCACTGGGTCAAATGGTATTATGGTAGACCTCCGAGATCTGGCTATGGCTTTCTTTGCCACCACAAAAGTAAAAGGTGATCTTTGTAAATGTCCTGGGCAGCACAACAAGGCTTGTTTTGGATTTTTTTTTTTTTTTTTTTCCCAAGTTGAAGTGTTACTAAGCCCACAACAGTGAAATCAGTCTGTACATGCAGTAAAGCA